AAGCAAGCCGCGTGACCACATCCTGATTCTTTCTTATCTGTGAAAAATAATGATAATGGAATAAGCTGCCACTTTCTTCCAAGAGATAAGTTTCTATATCTTTACTTGGTCAGTACATGGTTGAGTTTCTAATTTAGGGCTACTTGCTTCCCATCTCCATGGTAAGAAATTAAAGAAAATGTTTCTTTCATTCCTGTATTTTAAAATAAATCTGTGCTACTCAGAACCTGCCAGGAGCTCACAATTCTACCTTTTTTTTTTTTTCTTTTTCTTTTGCATAATCTCAGAATGATTTACAGAAAACAAATGCCTGCCTTCCCTTGGGTTTGGCTGGGACAAGTGAATCCATAAATGTGGGATAATAGGAAAGGATGTTAAAATATTTGTAGACTTTTTCATGAAAGTTAGCATGGAGAAAGAAGTTATTTTGCTCCCTTTCACAGAAGAATTATCTTTTCATTTGGGTGTAATATTTATCCACAGCTTAATCCTTCATTTGTTTGGCTATCCTGAAAACCAGGCACAATTGGTCAAATGGAAAACAGAGTGAAGGTATATACATACCGACAATGGATCTCATAAAGAATATATCAAGTTTAATAAAAAATAAATGTTCAACATGTAAAAAGTTAATTTACTGAAAATACGGAGTTGGGAAGAGCTCAGGTGGTAGTGTAGTCAGAGTTCCTAAATTCACCTTTGGAAGTACAGTCTTAACCACATGTGTAAGCTGAATTATTTCTCTACATTACTTCAGGCTGCAGCCTAATTTGCTTAGCTCATTTCCTAAATTCTTTTTTCAACATGTTATTTTGAAATTTTTCAAATCTATAGGAAAGTTAAAAAATAGTACAATGTCACAAGAGACCCTGACTAGCTGCAGCAATCTTGAGAAAGAAGAACAAAGTTGGAGGGATCACAATACTGGATACTAAATTATGCTACAAAGCCATTGTAATCAAAACAGCCTGGTACTTGCACAAGAACAGGCATACAGATCAATGGAACAGAACAGAGAATCCAGAAGTCGACCCAGGCCATTATGCTCAATATTTGACAAAGGAGGCAAGAGCATACAATGGAGTCAAGACAGTCTCTTCAATAAATGATGTTGGGAAAATTGGACATGTACATGCAAAAAATGAAGCTAGACCACCAACTTACACCATACACAAAAATAAACTCAAAATGGGTAAAAGACTTAAATATAAGTCGTGAAACTGTAAGAATCCTAGAAGAAACCGTAGGCAGCAAAATCTCAGACATCTTTTGCAGCAATATGTTTGCTGATACATCTCCTAGGGCAAGGGAAACATAGGAGAAAATGAACAAATAGGACTATATAAAAATAAAAAGGTTCTGCACAGCAAAAGAAACCATCAACAAGATGAAAAGGGAGCCCACTGTATGGGGGAACATATATACCAATCATACATCTGATAAGCGGTTAATTTCCAAAATATATAAAGAACTCATACAACTTAACAAAAGGAAGACAATCCAATTAAAAAATGGGCAAAGGAACCTAAATAGACACTTCTCCAAAGACGACATACAGATGAGCAATAGACCTATGAAAAAATGCTCAACCTCGCTTATCATCAGAGAGATGCAAATTAAAACCACAATGAGGTATCACTTCACACCTGTCAGAATGGCTCCATCAACAAGTCAACAAATGACAAATGCTGGTGAGGNACATCTAGATGTGTATAAGAGACAGGCAGTATGGAGGTTCCTTAAAAAATTAAAAATGGAACTGCTATTTAACCCAGTGATCCCACTTCTGGGAATATATCCTAAGAAACCCAAAACACCAATCACAAAGCACTTATGCACCTCTGTGTTCATAGCAGTACAGTTTATAATAGCTAAGACCTGGATACAGCCCAAGCACCCATCAGTGGATGAGTGGATAAAAAAGCTGTGGTATATTTACATAATGGAATACTATGCAGCTGTATAAAAAAAGGATCTCTTACCCTTTGAGACAGCATGGAGGGACCTGGAGAGTGTTATGCTAAGAGAAATAAGCCAGTCAGAGAAAGACAAGTATCACATGATCTCACTTATATGTGGAATCTAATAAACAAAATAAACTGATGAACAAAATAGATCCAGAGACATGGAAGCATGGAAAAGACTGATGAATCTCAGAGGGAAGGGGGAAGGGGGTGGGTGGGAAGAGATTAACCAAAAAACTTATATCCACATATATGCATAGCTCAGGAAACAGAAAATAGTGTGGTGAAGGCCTGGGTGGGATCGGGGTAGAAGGGGTCAATGGGGGGAAAAGAGGACATTTATAATACTTTCAACAATAAAGATAAAATTTTAAAAAATAGTGAACACCCAATTCCCCTCACTTAACTCCACCAATTACTAACTTTTACCATATTTCTGTGCATGCTCTCTCTCTGTATGTGTTTGCTAAATCAATTGAAATTAATTTGCTGATATCACTCCTAAGTACTTTAACATGTGTCTCTTTAGAACAAGGACATCCCCCTATATAACCACAATAAAATCATTGTACTTAAGACATTTAACATTGATAAATAACAGCATCTAATAGTTCATAATCAAATGTCCTCAATTGTCATAATTTCTTTAATCATTTTTTTTTTTTTTTTTTACGGGAGGTCTACTTAGTGAGAAATTCTCTTTATTTTTCTTCATCTGAGAATGTCTTGATTTCCCCTTTATTCCTGAAAGATATTTTCACTGAATATAAAATTGGATTGGCAGATCTTTCTGTCAGGATTTTTCATTAGCAAAAAATGTTTTGCCATTGCCCTTCTGGTCTCTGTGGATTCTGATGGGAAATCCATTGCTATTCAAATTGTTTTTCCCTTTAGGTAATGCATCTCTCTGGCTGCTTTCAAGGTTTTTTTGTGTGTGTGTGTTTTAATTTATTTACTTTTAGTTTTCTGAAGTTTATGATGTACCTTGGCATGGATTTTTTGGTGAATTATCCTGTTTGGCATCTGCTCAGGTTCTGAATCTGTAGGTTTATGTCTTTTGCCAAATTTGGAAAATTCTCAACCGGGCTTGTCTGTGATTTCTGGCTGGAGTTGAACAATTATTGTCTCATAATTTACTGTCTTGCTAGGCTGCCCCTTGCTGGTCCTTTGGCTGTAGAGAAAGCATACTTGTCTTTTAGTCTTCACCTGTTGACATTTCTGAGTTGCTGGCTTCCCCAGTTCCAAATCTGGGATACATACGGCAATGAGAAGAACCGGGGAACCCACCACCATGTCGTTCCTTGGGTCCTGAAGTCTCTAGACAGTTTGCCTNCTTCTCCTCTCCTCTCCTTTCTTTCATGACATGGACATACTTTGAAGAGTCCAAGTCTGTTGCCTTGTAGCATGCCCCACAATCTAGATTTGTGTGATGGCTTTCTCATAATAAACATGTATGTAGGAAAAAAAAATGCACGTGCATATACTGTGCATTCCTGTTGTCTTCCCACATACACGTTATATTTTCCCATTTGTGAGACTTTGCTCACACAAACCATCTCTTTAATTAAGGTCCTTCCCCCACCACATCGTTACAAGGCTCACTTCAATATTTAACCTTCTCTAGATGATTTCCCCAATGTCTTCTATCCTGAACCTCTGAATATCCAGGATACCTTTTCTTAATAACAGTTACAATTTTTTTTTTTTACTTTGTATTATTAATTTATTCACATATTTTTTACCTTCTCTCCAATGAAACCTCCTAAGGGTAGACCTAATTTATCTAGATTCCCTGGAATCTAGCATGGTGGTTCACAAAGTAAGCAATCAATATAAATAGTTGTCAAATGAATGACTTAGATGGATGAATAAACGAATGGAAATGTTATGTCTGGGTTCTGAGATATAGTGAGTTGGTTAAAAACTTAGGTTTGAATAATTTCTTCATAAGCGTACTTTCTGCACCCAAAATAGTCTACTTAATTTTAAAAAATAAAATTTGTTTTAATAAATATAAAATGTTTATTACATGCCTATAGCTGTTTTACAAACCTACTTGCTAAGCACCGAGGGAAGCTTTTCAATCTGGAAGTTTCCTTCTTTCACTTTGGAAAATAGTCTTATATTGTTTTTTTTATAATTTCCTCTTTCACATATTTTTTGTTCCCTTCAGAATAAAGAACTGTAAGTCAGATGTTGAAACTTCTGGATTGATCCTCTACATCTCTTATCTTTCATATTTTCTATTTTCTATCTTCTAAAAGATTCTTTCTAACCTATTATTGATCTTTACTTAAACTTTGGAAATCATGTTTTTAATTTTCAAGAGTTTTGTTGTTCTTTTTGAGTGGCCTTTTAAATAGCATCCATTTTTGTTTTATGGATACAATCTCTTTTCACATCTCTATGGCAATATTGATTAAGACTTATTTTCTTCTGTTCCCTGCACTACCTTTTCCAAACTTTCTTAAAGTGTTCTTATTTCTATCTTGGTCTTTCCCTCATTCACATTAAAGGCATTTCATATATTAAATATAGAAACCTCTGTGTGCTGAAAAGCTGACTGGAAACTCTGTGTATATGAGCAATGTTTGCCAGCTGCCAGGATGGCTACAGGTTAACTGAATGTTGAGTTAAGCATTAAAATGTGTAAACTCCCAACTGCAAAAACATGGAGGTTTCTTTTTCTGACATCATTCAATTTCTTTAGAAAAGAACCCTTCAGTTTTGTGCCTGCAGAGTAACTTCCCACCGCTGCAATGTCACTCCGCAGAGGGGTGTGTGTGTGTTTTGTTCCCAATTCAAATCTTTAGTTGACTCTCTCTGTTTTTAGTCCCTTATCTCACCCCTTCCCTTTATAACCTGTTAATCAGCACCCAAGCCTCAGCTTCACCTGCTGTATCAGTTACCACTCATCTCACATCTATGTTCCATCTGCCAGAATTGTTAAACTCACCCTTTGATGGACTCTCCTGTCTTTTTTTTATGGGTTTATATGTTCCTTTTATTAATATTATTTTTTTTACCATCATCTTGGTGGAATCTTGAGAAAGAGAGGAGATAAATACATGGAAATATTTTTCAAGATATTGATTCCAAGTAAATGAATTTGTCATCTTTAATCAGACTGTGTGCTTAATTTCAAAAGTGTTTGTGTTATAAACTTCCTCCTCTGTAAATCTGGTCTTGTGAATAGTGTAAATTTTCTACCTAGAAGATTAAAGAAGTGATTCTCTATGTGATTATGGGAGTAAGGTTCAGACAACCTTGGGTGGTTTTAAGTTTCCTACTGAGTAATCTGGACTAGGGGAAAGTACTAAAGATACTGCACAGGGAAGTATGAGATAAACTCTCTCTTTATGACTTTAGAAGTCTGGTTACTTATTTACAACTGGGATAAGATAAATGATCAAATAATTAGAGAAGTTCTAGAAACCACTTGTCAAGTTTTATTCTACTGTCAACCCATGTCCCTGTGCATGTCTGAACCTTTGGTTACCTTAGATTTCCAATACCTGGAAGAGAACAAGCTGCAGCATTACTCAGGCAGGCCCCTCCTGAGTTCTACTCACGTATAAAGAATTCCCTCCTTGAGCTACTATGACATTGGCTGGTTACTCACACCACAGATTCCTCGGGATTGGTTGGGACTGCAAATAAAACACTGTTTGCCCATAATTGAGCTGATAAGCTACAGCATAAATACACACAAGTTCCTCTTCTTAGAATATAATATGCAGCATCTGCTCTCTTCTTTCCTCCTAACATTTTCATGCAAGACCTGGAAAGGAAATGTTGTCTCTGGCCAGAAGAATTCATTAAAAACTTAAAATGGGTCTGTCGAGTTCTAAAAACCCTAAAGCCAAACAAGCCCAAATTCTTCTTCTGGGACTTGACTCTGCTGGGAAGTCTACTGTTCTTTATAAATTAAAGCTTGCTAAGGATATCGTGACCATGCCAACAGTAGGTTTCAATGTGGAGATGATCAAGTTGGAAAAGAGTCTTTCATTCACCGTCTGGGATGTTGGAGGACAGGAGAAAATGAGAACTGTGTGGGGCTGTTACTGTGAGTGCGCCGACGGGTTGGTGTATGTTGTGGACAGTACAGACAAACAGCGACTGGAAGACTCCAGGAGAGAGTTTGAGCGCATTTTGAAGAATGAACACATTAAAAATGTACCTGTTGTTCTATTAGCCAACAAACAAGATGTTCCCGGAGCTCTGACTGCCGAGGACGTCACCAGAATGTTTAAAGTGAAGAAACTCTGCTGTGACCGGAGCTGGTACGTGCAGCCCTGCTGTGCCATCACTGGGGATGGGCTGACCGAGGGGTTCAGGAAACTAACTGAATTTGTGAAAAGCTACATGAAATCGAGAGCAGACACTTTTGCATTCTTCAAGCAAAACTGAGGTCCAAGCAGTGGAAGATGAAGTTGAAAGGGTAAATTTTTTTTTTCCATGTCAAATGAGAAAAGCAAGTTGCTGAGATGGCGAACTTTTCCTGAGATGTTATTTCACCTAAATTAAGTTAAACAACTCAGAATAATAGCTATAAAATATTATATTTGGCCAGGCACTTTAGCAGGCTGTGGTAATGATAATTTGGAATGAAAAATTTATAATTTTGTACATGTTGGATAGTTTAGGATAATTATATTTAGGACCAAATAAATTATTGCTTTATATTTTCATATAACTACTAAGTAAACTCTGCTAATAGAGACAGAATTTTTTCAGATTGTTTTCAGCTGTTAAATTTCCACCACACTCTTATGTAATAGCTGGGTGGTGTAAAAAAATCAACTTTAAATTATGGAGAGGAAAAAGTTCAATGTTACTATTTTGTAAACCCCTATCTATCCCCTATATAAAATTTTTCTTCTGGATTCCTGCCAGCTTTTTGAAATCTATTGCTGAGAACTTTATACAATGAATCAAACAATGAACTCCAGGCTGTTAATTGCCCAGAGGCTGTGTTCTCTCATAGGGAGCAGAAGTGGGTATCTTAAAGCTCCGGGGATCAGGGTAACACCTTAGAGTTTAGGGCAAGGCCTGGGATTTAGCTCAGCTGGAGCTGCAGCCCCAAGACCAGCTTCAGTATAATTTAGTATAACAGTCATTACTTGGGAACTATGTACAGCTCACTGTTCTGATCAAACAGGAACCAGAGCCAGACTTTGCTCTCAGAGACCTTGCAATTCACAGGGGGTAATGACATAAGGCTAATTGCTAGAATAGGGCAATGAGTGCTATGTGATGTAACAGGGGAGACTCTTTCTGACCTGGAAAAGCAGGACGTGCTTCATGCAGGAAGTGGTATTTAAGTGGGTATCCAACTCCTGGGGACCCACAAAGGTACAGGTTAGTCACTGGAAGTTCCCATCATGAGGAGACTCTCCAGAGATGCTGTGGGGGAGGGGAGGAAGAGTGAAGGAACTAGACATTGACTTGGAATTCCCCTGAGAGGCTCAGAACTCCCAAGGGGGCCCCAGTATGAACTCTTCCCTCCCACCCTGCCTTTAAAAAGGCTCATTTGGGCTAGAAGCAGGCTCGAAGCCTCCACAGCAGACCCTGGGACTCCAAATCTTAAGGTTACTGAGGAAAATGCAGATATAATAAAATAAGGATGCCAGCTCCTAGGTTCCTTTCATGGTTCTCTTCTCTTAGCAATGATTAGTTCAGCAAAGATCTGAGTAGCCACTTCTGTGCTACACGACAGCAATTCAAATAATAAAGAAGACATACACATAATAATAGTTACCACTGGTTGAATACTTGTGTGTGCCAGGCATTGTTCTAAACACTTTCATACACCTTCTCATTTAATGTTCATGACTTGCCTGAGAGATTTGAATAGGTGTTATCTCAATTTTATAGATGAGAGTACTGAGACTAAACAAGGTTCAACACACACACAAAAAGACAAAGTATTTTAACTGAAGAGTGGCAGAGCCAGGATTCAAACTTAGGTGTGTCTGACTTCAAGGCCTGTGCTGTTAATTGCCATGATATTGTTTTATAAATTAGGTATGGTCTCTGTCTTCAATGAGCTTACAACACATAATTAAGAATAAATCCAGGCTAAATAAAAAATATAACTACCATATGATCCAGCAATCCTACTTTTGGGTATGTATTCAAAGAAAATGAAATCACTAACTCAAAGAGGTATCTCTACTGCCATGTTCAGTGCAGCATTATCTGCAATAGCCAAGACATGGAAACAACCTAAGTGTCTGTTGATGGATGAATAAAGAAAATGTGGTATATATGCACAATGGGGTATTATTCAGCCACAAAAAGGAGATTCTGCCATTTGCAATGCTAAGTGAAATAAGCCAGACACAGAAAGACAAATACTGTGTGATCTCCCTTATATGTAGAATCTAAAAAAGCCAAATTCATAGTAACAGAGTAGATTGGTGGTTGCCAGGAGCTGAGAGGTGGAGGGGATAGGGGGAGATTGCTCAAAGGGTACAAACTTTCCATAAGATGGGTGAGTTCTGAGGATCAAATGTACAGCATGGTGACCATAATTAATAATACTGTACTGTATACTTGAAATTTGCTAAGAGAATACATTTTAAGTATTCCTGCCAAAAAACTCCCACAAAAACAAAGTAACTATGTGAGGTGATATTAAAGAACTCAAGTGTAGGAATCCTTTCACAATGTATATCAAATCATCAAGTTGTATACTTTAATATATTATATGTGCAATATAAAATATATTTTGTCAATTATGCTTCAATAAATCTGTGGGGGGAAAAGACTAAATCCAGGCCAACATATTATACTTTTATAAGAAATTTCTTTGAAAAAACAAGCCAGGCAGAATAAACTGAGTATAATAACAGAGATATGAGAAAATGCTGAAAGACTGTGACAAAAGGAGTTTCTGATTTTAGGAAGACCTCAGGGGAGGAGCAATGCTAAATGCTTCATAGTAGTTTTCCCAAAGTTTCACAAAATGATTAAAACCTCAAAAATGCATCTTTAAAAAAATGTATCATCCCTTTATACTTTCCCTACATGTTTTTAAAAAAATCTTCATCTTAAAATTAGAAATCACTAACTTATATCTATAGAAAATGTCTAAATATAAAATATGTCCTGTTGTTCTGAGATTTTGGTAGTTTGAATTGTCAAGCCCTTTGTAGCCCAGTATTATTATAATATAAATTCAGAGAAAACAATCTCCCCAAAATATTGAAAGCAATTAAAACCTTCACTTCAGCAAGTGCTAGGTGTGTGTGGTGGGCAGATACACTCTTATAGAGCAAAACTTATAAAGTAGCTCTTTCCTATCTGTCATTTCAACATCCCTCCCCCATATAGCAGCTATTCCTCAAAATCTCTACTAATATTTTCTCAGAAACTTGAGTACTCTCTTGCCTTTTCTCCTTTCTTCTCTAGGATCAAATTTATTTTCTTCCATCAGACATTTGCTTTCTTTTCAATGTAAATTTTACCAATCTTTCTTTGGCATTTCCCTCCTGCTTTCCCTAGTATGTTCCCCTCCAATACACACACATGCACACACACACGCACACTCCGTACACTCTTCCCTCCCTCTGATCTACTAATAAAGCCCAAAACTGAGGGAAGGGAGAAAGGTTAGGTGGACAACTGTAAAATATTTCATAGCAGGTGAGAAGAAAGAGGCTGTGAATATTTATGCCCTGACAATTAATACTGTCATGCACTTTACTCTCTAGTATCTATATGTAATAAAGCAAAACATTAAAAAAATATTTTACTGATTTTTCTTTTTAGAGAGAGAGGGAGAGGGACAGAGAGACAGAAGCATCAATGCGGGAGCGGAATATCCATCAACATCCTGCACGCTCCCTCCCGGGATCGAGCCTGCAACCTGGGCATGTGCACTGAGGGGGAAATTGAACTGGCAACCTTTCGATGCCCAGGACGCCGTCCAACCAACTGAGCCACACGGGCCAGGGCAAAACAAAGCTTTTAATTTATCAAAATAAAACACTGCCATGGATCTACAGCAACCCAAAGCAGAACACTTCTGGCATGTTCCTTGGTTAAAGATTTAAAGAGTCTGAAAGGAAATATCAGTTAAGTATTTCTAATGTTCTAAGTATTCCCAGGTGAAAAAAAATCCTTACAGGGCATAGGAATAAAGAATGGCAAATAAAGCAGCAGCACTGACTGACTTGTGTTAAAATTAATTTTTCAGTTTAAAAAGCTGATGTTTGGACTTGATCTTTTGTTGCAAGCAGGCTGGTGCTACCATTGGAAGACTATGTGAAAAATGTGATGGCAAGTGTGTGACCCGTGACTCCTCTATGCGCATACGTGATGAGTGCGACCATGGCTCCTATCAGGGTGCTGTGCGGCCTGTGGAGGCCCTGGAGTCTCTGATGCCTATTATTGCAAGGAGTGTGCCATCCAGAAGGACAGAGATGGTTGCCCAAAGACCGTCCATTTGGGGAGCTCTAAGACAAATCTCTTCTATGATGGCAAAAATATGGCTCCAAGAAGAGGTAACTGGCAGGCAGCCTCTTCCCTCTCCACCTGCTGCCAGCAGGAAGGCGTGGAGCACAGAGCATTGCCTGAGAGGCCCATTAGTCCACTGGCACCTTTCCACCCTTCCCTCTCCCCTCGCCCAGATAATGTGGTAGGAATGGAAAGGATTCCGCACAGAGTACTCTGGCAGACTGTCAGAGAAAAAATGACCGATTCGTTCATGGTTTTCCTTGAATTCGAGAAGCAAGACTCTGTTTTTCACATTGATAAGTTCTCTCTGCACCAAGAGCTTCTAAACAGGAAGGGTATCATTCCAGTCTTCTGTGTGAAGAGTCAGCTGTGAAGTGTTCTTACGGCAGCTCTGACAGCGGCTGTCCCTGCTGAAGCATGGGCAGTGTGGTGGGGAGCTCCCCGAACAACAAATGCCGCCGGCGTTTAGTCTTCTAACACTTACCACATGGCGCTGACCCTGGTTATTTTTCTTCTAAGAAATCGGAAACCCTTCCTTTTTGTGTTTTATTAATAAATGTAATTATATTCTGGTCATCAGTCCCAATTAAAAAAACATTCATGTTTTCACTGTGTCCTGACGATGAAAAATTGGGTTCTGCCAAACCAAGAAGACGGGGAATTTCACATGGAGAGTCCTGAAGTTCTTGTCCCTTGGAAGTGGCATGGAGGGACTATCCACAGAGGCTGCAGTGCATTGAGTATGTGGAGGAACAGCCCAAGGACAGCATCAGTAGGGCTTCTGTAGACCCTGGGGTTGGCCACTTTTGTTTGCATGAGCTCTCTCTCCAGAGAGAGACCATGAAATGGAAAGAAGACAGAGAGACTAATAATTATTTAACCTAATTTGGGATATTGTGTCACAGGGATTTCAGTCCACCAGGTTTTTAGCGTAATATTTACTGTTAGCAAATTGAATTACTTTAAGCCCGAGAAAGCACACTGTAACTTGAAAGTGCACACAAATATTAAAGTTGGTTATTAGGTGACTTAACTATCTCAGTATTTTCACAAATGTTACCTCATTTTGTTCTTGCCAAATCTCATAACAGATCTCATAACAAATATTATCAACATGATTTTAACAATATGAGGAACTGATTCAGCAGTTACTGAATCTAGTGAACCTAGTCCTCTTATTGCCAAGATTTAAAAATATATAATTTTTACCAATGAATTTAACAATAATGTGGCACATACCACATTATTTTAACATTAAATTTCTTTGTTTCTAGAACCAAGTGGGAATGGTTAGAGTATTTCTTGGACTAAAAACTTAGAAGTCATCTTCCTTTCCCCCCTTATATCTCACATCTATCAACAAATCCTGGCAACTCTCCCTTCAAAACACATCTCCCTCTGGCCACTTCTCAATCCACACTGCTACCACCGGCCACCATCAATTCCCAGCTGGATGGCTGCATTCTCCATACAGAATTCTGCAGGAGAGCTCTAAAATGAAAGATCACCCCTTGCTTCAAACCCTCTATTTGTTTCTTACTCTGTCTAGTACCTGTCTCCTACATTTCACACCTCTCTCTCCTGCAGCCACACTTGCCTTAATGTCCCTGTATCACTTCTAATTTGTTACAGCCTCCAGGCCCTTAAACTTGCTGTTTTCCCAGTTTAGAATATACTTGCCTCAGACCTTCAAATGGTTCAGGCTTTATATCCTTCAGGGCTCTAAACAAATGTGCAGAGGGTTTCCCCCAATCCTTATCTAAATGGACCTCTTCCTCCCTGCCACTCAATACCTGTTGGCTTTGCTTTATTATTTTTTCATAGCTTTTATCATGGCCTCAGTTTATTATTTACTTATTTAGTCATTGTTTCTTTCCTCCCTAGCAGGTAAGCTCCTTGGGAGCAGGGACTTTATTCACTGTTGAATCCTAGAATAGTACTGAGGATACTAAAGGTATTTAAAGGATATTTGTAGAACAAATGAATGAGTTGTCTGGACCCTAACATGAGGTCTTCTCAGGATCCCAGGCTGCCTCTTGGGATGGAGTATTGATTGATCCAATCATGCAGAGTAAAAAGAATGTCAGATTTGGATGGAGGAGAGTCTCATCCTAACCTCAGGATCCCATAGGCAAGTCCCTCCCCCAGGAGCAATGTGCTGGACTGAAAAGAACATAGGCTTTGGAGTCAGAACTGAGTGTGAATTCTGGTTTGTCACCGGGTTTGGCTTTTACAAGAAATACACTTTTAGTGTGCTAAGCCATGGGGAATTGGAGGCTGTTCCAGTCATCACTGTTAATTACCCTAATAAACCAGGATCCTGGGCCTTGCTGAGAATGTGTCTAGGAACTCTCCTTTTCCCAGTCTTCTTTCCTCACAAACCCCCTCTCTCCCATCTCCCTACACCCATTCTAGGATCCTCATGGGACTCCTTCCAGAACAGGAAGGGAAAACAAT